GAGTTCCTTTGCAAACCCGTTACCTCAACGCTTTCTGCGGGCTGTCTATTTTTGTAGTCCGCCAAAAGTGCATTGACATTGCCCCGCTGCTAAATTCATTGGCAGTCCATGCCAATTCTAATTCTTCTTTTTTGCCTTTGCTGTTGTGTGCCGTCTCATTTCTCTTTTATTTTTTATACATACACTTTTTTGAGCCCGCATTCGCTTAGCTCTCAAGTGACGACGGACGACCGAATGCCAAATGCCAGGCCATTCAGAGTCAACGAAGTCAGCCTCACTCTCCTCCGTTCCACTAAACTGCCTCAAATGCCCCGTGACGCATAGAGACGATTTAATTCTTCTGCCCCTCGTCGACATACCCTAACGGGCGGGGAACATTTCGGCCCTGAAGGGACTTGGCAGCACTTCAAATAAGCGGAATCCCGGGAATTCCTAAAGTCAACAACTGAAATTATCTGCTTCTCAATTAAGTCATTGTGGGGTTGTCCAAATAAAAATATTCATTTTGTCAGGTTAAATTATAAATCATTATACTTAAATCATTTTTGTTTTAATTTGCAGTTTAATTCACAAAATATAATCTATACTTCTTTATTGTATGTTTATTGCAAAATCGTTGGTATCTTTTGCTTACTCAAAGTGTTGGTTAAACCACATAAATTAAGAAGCGATTTAATTGCCAAAATTCTACTTTCGAATATGAAAATCAGGAGTTTTATGTAAATAATTGTCAGTTTCTAGCCAAGAAACCTTATCAGTGGGGAATTTTAAGGTAAATTTTGGCAGACTGAAGAATTTATAAATGTACGATTTGAAGTTCTTCAATTGAAGTTTAAATTATTAAAATCCTTATAGCATTTCTTGGCAGTTTTGTTATTGTAAATGCATATTAACATGATTTCTTTAGAGTATCTTGCTGGTTCGCCTGCTAAACTTTCTTTTTCTCTTGGTTTTACATATTTTGCATGCCTCCAGTGGGGCCTCGACGCCTCGGCGGTCGCCCATTTGTCCAGCTCCGTCTCTGCCGATCCCTGCCTTCACTTCCATTTCCATCTCCATTTCCAGTTCCAGTCCCACAGTTGCCCCAGCACGCATTTTAAAGTGCAACAAACACAGCGGAATTGCATTCATATTCATGTGACAATTTGCATGAGATACAATGAGGCCATAATACGAGCAGAAGTCACCATAAAACTTTTTTCTTTCTGCTGAAAAAGCAATTTTTCTAATTTATGTTCAAATTTAAATAGAACAAAAAATGAGAAGTTACTTTGCTGAATGAGCAAAGTTTTTGGCACCAATACCACCAGAAATGTTCAGATTAAAAAGAAACTCAATTGTTATAAGAATAATACCACAATCGCACCCAATTCAGTTGGCTGAACTTAATGGCCTTTAGAAAAATTATAATTATATTGAGACAATAAGATGACTTTCAAAAGTGTGGATGGTTCAAATGAAACCAAGAATTTGTGCTCGGATAATGAATGGAAATTTATAACTATAAGCTTATAAACATTGTATAATTATAATTAATAATAATTATTACTATTATATCACCTTATTTTGTACCTAATATTTTCACAATTAAATCTAATTGAATAAAGAAAGCCTTAGATGTTGTGTTATTTATATTTCACTATTAAAAGTAAGTAAACCATTTTCTAAAGTTCCCTTCACTCCTTACAAAATCCCATTGCTAACCATGAACGATATGCCATATGCATAACTATAATGTATTCTTCAGCAAGGCCCAGCTAAAAAAAATAAAGAATGTGCAAAACAAAAAAAGAAGAGGGACAGAAGCTGGCTTCCGTTTGGTCTCAATTGCATTTCTGTGTTCTCATGTGCGGTCCATGTCTCTGTTTCGGTTTCAGTTCGGTTTCCCTTCCCCCGACTTTGTCAACATATGTTGAGCATAATCACAAACAAGCTAGGGTATTACTTTAACACAAACATCATTGAAGTAGAAGAGAGGGAAAATCCGGGAGAAAGATGTGAAAAGAAAAGAGTGAGGCCCGAAATTCAATTTGCTGCATTTGGGATTTAATTTGAGAAGATTCGATGAGTTCGGATTGTGTCTCTTCCGAAGTGCCGAGAGTGTGGGGTCTTTTGTTTTCGTATTGTTGTCGTCATCGGCATGGGCCTCTTGAGCGGCTTATGCTAAACAGCCAAACACACTTCTGTACCAATTCCGGCAGCCAGTGCCAGTGCCTCGAAAATCGGAGCTGTCTAAGTGGCCATTCCGTTATGGGGCGTTGAAAATTGGCTCCACTTTCTGAAGTTGCGATGATGAATTGTTCGGGGCAATGGCAGGCGGCAGCTGCTGATGGCCTGTCGGTCAAGATGAAAAGATGAGTGGGAAATGCTATTGAACCATTACAGATAGATAGACATTCCCTTTCGTTTTCTCGGGATCCATTAATGGGTTAGGCCCGGCCTATAAATACACTTGTGGTGGATGGGCGCACCGTTGTCTATCTGGGGAATCGTTTGATATTTCCATATAAATAGCCTTTGCTTCACACTATTGACATTTGCACCGCCACTCCCTCGAAGTCCTCGGTCAGCTCGGCTTCTGGCCACGATTTACGACTTCCGTGAAGCACTTTCAGTGGCCAGTAGTATGCAATCGGCATTCACGGAGTGCCTCCGATTTAAATATACAAATCCTCAGACATTCGCCTAAACATGTACTCAACCGTCTGTGCTTGTTTGATATGCAGTCCATGTCTCGGATGTCTGCATTGATGGATATTGCAGGAGGATCAAATACAGCAAAAAAGAAATACAGTCGATCTTCCCTGGCTCAAAAATCACTCAGTATAAGTTTCGGTAATAAAAACTGGAAGGCTGAGAGGCAAATCAGAAGGCGAATATGTAGAATTTGTAAGATAAATAAGATTTGAAATTGGAATTTCAATTAAAAGCTGTACTTCTATTTATCGAGAAATAAAGCTTTTTCAAGGTGCGCATAAAATTTCCAAGTATTGATGAAGTGTCTTTGCTGAAAATAAGACAAACTTTGTCTTCGGAAAATACCAATTTTTCTTCTGCAGATTTCATTTCAGGATACTACAGAAAGTGATTCGTGCCGTTGAAGTTATACTGTACCCTTAGACATCTCACAAACAACTCTCACACACTCGAAATGTGAGGTCATTGGGGGTAGGAATAAGGTGGTATGGAATGAGATGGAGTGTGGTGCTGATGGAAACCCTCTCAAATCTATGTGTATGGGTGGTCGAAGGAGAAGCTAATCTGATTTATCAGTCTGAAAATAGATTTTGTGCAAAATTGAAATCGCAAGAGGATAAGGGGAAAGATATACCCAACAAAACGAATTCAAGAAGGTTAAAGCGGAAAAGAAAATATAAAGGAAATCGGATAATATTTTCTAAATCGTGGAAAAAGTAAAACCTACCCTAGCACATTTAGACTAATTGAATAATTCGTATACTTCAGAAATAATGTCATTAATTTAGTCTCATTTGTTGTGCTATCTCTTAGGACTCGCCAATTTATCATTAAACAGAAACCTTCATAAATCAAAATAAAGAAACACCCATTAAGGATATCCCTATTATATTATATATAGCAAGTAAGACTTTCCTGGGCTCAAGTATGGCGAAACATCAAAAACATGTTTCGGTCAATAAGAAATTCCTCTTCTTGCTGTTGTTTTTTTTTTCACTTAGCTTGTCGCTTCCACTTGAGCAATTAATACGTGAGCAAACTGAAAAATATGTCAGGGATGTGGTGGAGTTGGTAAAAGTGAGGGGGTGTCGTATAGAAAGAGAAGCAGCGCTGGAGCCAAGTGCAAAACAATGTTCAAGTGTTGTATTGTAACCGAAAGAGCCAAAACAAAAGGGAATAATATAGTTGTGAGCCACGACTATGAGATACCCGGTAGTCCAATGAAGGTTACAAGATAGAAATCGCAGTTGCAGACAGTAGACACCAAGTCTAAGTGGTTCCTAAAGATTGAGCTAAAAATTCCCAAGTACAAATTCAGAAACCAGGTTAACATATATTTTTAATAAAGGCGTATAACCAGACTAGGGTATTCCTATACATTTTTTGACCCAAGTAGCATACCCGTCTTACGCACCGAGCACGGTATAAGCCATCATAACATTTGGAGTGTGCAAAAACTCCAGATTTCTTTCTCATCTCTCGGCTTCTGTTTCCATCGTCTGTGTCTGCCAATGGATTATTTTTATCACATCCCACAACCCCCACATGAAGAACAAGTTAAAAGCAGAACAGGGGAGAAACATAGACGGAAACCATAAAGCGAAACATTTTGCGATTGCGAAATCCAAACACGCCTCTCACATTGTCGCACAACATGATCTATATACATATGTCTCTGAACATATACAAATGTATATATGTGGGGAAGACAATAACCATGATTGTAATTATCACTGTCATTATCGCGATGATGATTGAGTTTGGTGTCTGGAATGAAATGTAACGCATTCCACGCAGAATAATGAATTGTAGTGAGTTTTCCAATGTGTCTCTGTGGTTGTACTTAGAAGAGCGCGGCATTGTCGAAAATCTGCTCATATTTCAGTCAACCAAGCGGAAATCCTTTATGCCCCCCGAGCCCACAAAACCGTCGTCGGACGGGCACCATGTCGTATAATAAATACTACTAACGGTTTTCCAGCCGACTCACATTTTTGCAGCTCGTTAAATGGGCGACACAGTCAGTCGAGAGCAAAGTTCCCCAACACCGCACTCCTTCTGCGGCCATCGCACCCTCTGGTAGCCTCTCTCTCTCGCGCCGTTAGACACTCTGCATTCATTGTTAGTCCGTCGACTTTTTAGTTGCTCCGGGTTGGGTTGCATTGTGTGAAAAAGTTTTAATTGGATGCTTATTACACAAATTTGCCCGTTTTCTTTACTTACCCACACATTTTTTGTTGCCTCTGCGGTGGCATTGGTATTTGAATTTGTTAGTTGGAAGCCAAATGTCCGGAAAAAGTGAGTCAGGTTTAATGGTTTACTGCTACCAATAAGTGTTTGAAAAGTGGCATATATCATTTGCTTATTATAATTTCATACCCTTTAATTGGTTAAAAAAAGAAACCAAATGGGCGGGGATTAATTCCGCGCGGCATGTAGAAAGCGCCACGTCTCGGGTTGAGAACACGCGGGGAATTCGTGCGTTCTATGATCATGGTCGTCTGGGTTGTGACCTCACGCGAGTTGCCTGTGAAGACCGGGTCCAGCAGCTCATTGCGATAGCGATCGACGATCTCCGAAGCGTTCGGCATCAGGGTGTTAATGTTGCCCTTGATAACGACCACCAGGGTGTCCGGGGTGATGCAGATATTGGACACCTTTTTGGTGTTAACATCCATTATATTGACCAGCAGGACATCGTCTGTGATATGGCCCAGGAGCAGATAGAGCTGCTTGTCGTGCACGTAGCGAAGCGAGTATTTGGCATCGTCATCGTTCCAGCATTCGGGCAGCAGCTCACTGCCCTTTTCGTCATCCAGCAATGTTTTATCATCGCCGAGGCCCAAGCACCGAAAGTTGTAGTATTTGGTCAGCAGGAAGTGAACGAGAGCAATCAGCAAGTCCGCCTTCTTGTTGACCTCGGACTGGACCGTCTTGTAGAGAAGATCCCAGCCGTAGAAGAACTCTCCCGACTTGGAGATTGAGAGCGATGAGTTCATGATTGTTAAAGCTGAAAGCTTTCTAACAGAATCTTGGGTCCTGGGGGGTTGTTACTGTTGTCAGGTTTGTATTTGAGTATTTTGTTGAGTATTTAAAAATAATGTACATACATATATGTATATCAAGGCCTAGTAATTCCAAACATTATGCACATAAATCTAAGAATCATTTGGCTTACAGTATACAAGTACCTATCCAATTCTAATGAAGTTTGAGATTAACAATTGCTTATGACATAGTATTAGCATAGCAGCAGAGACAGTACTATTTTTTGCCCTAAGAATGCATAAATCAAACGTACAGGCATTATGCATCGCATTTTTTAAGCTTTTTGATAGCAGTGTGTTGTTGAATTCGCAGTTGGGAATTTCAGAAGCACTCCTATATTTAGGAAACGTTGCCTTTTTGCATGCCTTTTTATATTTTCAGAACGCCCGTTGGATTTATCCGCACATTTTAACTGAACACGCATCAGCAGGGCTGACTGGAAAATCCGAAATACAATTCATTTTACTGCTCCTGCACCGAAATGATAGTTCACCACCTAGTCTCCCCGCGCTGGCATTTCATAACGCTGAGCCAAAAATAATCCAATTAGGCAGGACTTAAATGCACATGCTGTTGCACCAAGGGCGACGCGGAGGCAGCAACAACGCACGACGAAATGATTCCAATTAGAATTACAACACGCTAATTGCATTTTACAAAACGTTTGAATTGAATTTCTAATTGGCAATTGCTGCGGCACAATGATTCCGCACATAAATGAATAATTCTAAATGGATTCCCGAAATTCCAAAAGAGGTAAAAACAGCCAACGGGTGGATATGACACTGAAGAATGAAAATGTGGAAATACCAGCGATGCCGGCGATGCACAGCTGTTACAGCCGACTGACTGATGGCCGCTCAAAAATAATCCTCAAAAAAAGATTGCAATTCCATTCAATGTTATAGATTAAAATTCAGTTTAACGAATCAACAATTGGAATTTAGGTCATTTCTATGCGATTGCATTAAATGCATCAAAACATAAGCGATCAGCGTATGAATAGCACGAATTAAACCGTCGAAAATATTGCAATTTGACTCACAAATACCTTTATTTTTTCTATTGCTAGAATAAATAAAGATTATACAGTTTATGGCGCTCTGAATTATTATTATTATTTGGAATTACACAGATTGATATGCACAAATAGTAAGTATTTGATTTCCTTTGATGAACCAGCGCTGAAGGCATCTAAAATACGTTTATTCCAGTATATGGGGAGGTCGGTCTCCCTTCTACCTGCATTGCCATTTAAGATCATAAACTGCTATCAGTTTACAGCGCTTAAAAAAAAATAAATCCTGTTATAGAGGCCACATAAAAGATAATATCGATGGGGGGAAATAAGCCGACTGATTGATGCTCAATTTAGGAATTAAAATTCTTTCCATATATTATTTACATATTTTTTTATAAAATTTAAAATTATATTTATTACTAGTTGTGACTCAGTCGTTTTATATTCAAAGATGTATAGACAACGCATAGCTTTTTATATAAACTCACTAAGATTTTTTACTATTATATTAAAACTTTGTTAAGTTTTTCTTAAACTTGTATAATTTGTATTAAATTTGTATTCCCAAATACTCGATTTTCAGAGAGGGCACCCAAGCTCAAACACTCATGAATATATAATTTTCTGAGACAAAAACAAAACCAGTTTCCTGCAAGAGCATAGCCGCTGAGAAGGCAGAGAGAGAGAAAGACCGAGAAATTGGGAGGCTTGGGCTATCAAAAAACTTTTATCACAAAGAAAAGCTAAACCAGTCAACGGGTTTTATTTTTTGGCCGTTCGCTGTTGGCTAATTTGTCGTCGGGTCTCGATATTCGAGCTGATGCATCCTTTTTTTTGGCGAACGAGAACCGATACCTGAGCATCTGATTTGCAGGCTGAGATTTTTTGATCTTCTGCGCACGAATTAACTTCAAACAGGCGTGAATAATGCCCTGGTGATCTTTTGCCTTTTGCCTGTGCGGGGATCTGGAATCTCCTGTGCCTTTGAGAGACCACATTAAAGTGTGCCGCCTGACACACTTCCCCGATTCCAGATACTCCTCCTGTTCGACGGTCTTTATGACATGTGCGGTTTGAGTTATGACCTGCTGCTCTGGACTTTTTTGCAGCATGTGCGGTGCTGAATTTCTTCGTTCCCGTTGCTGCCTGCCCCACCCGTACATATTTCAGATGGCTGATAGTTTAATTGGTCTGGACTTTATGTGTTTTGCGGTTTTTGCTCGCCTTGCCTTAGTTCTTGGCTGCCTTTGTGCCCTTGTTCCCCCACTCGCTACCGGTCTTTGACTGGACGTAATGAAGACGTCACATGACAGGCATATTAATGCTAATTGATTATGCCAAAGTTCCTACAAAAAAAAGATATGTATAGTAAAAGCCACTCTGAAACTTATCTTGATCACACTACCGAAACAATTAAGGGCACTCTCTGAGAGGTCTTATAAGGAAACTCGAATTTCAGAAACCCACACACAAAGTGGGCCAATGTGAATCCATAAATTTCATGGAAATATAGTATTAAGTCACGTAATACAACAAAATCTAATCATAATTGATGTGTTAAAGGTAATTGAGACATTTAAGTCACAGCAGGGCCTCTGTTTCTCAAGAACATGCTTTTCTCAAAAGTCCCTTAACAGGGGTACATAAATCGTGTTGATACCTTTGAAAATTCAAGATGACAAATCTAAGAAAATGCTGCACAAAATTTCCAATAAAAATCTGTAGAAAACAATAAATCCCACACTCAATTAAATTGATTAACGCTGCCATAAAAAGACGGCGATAAAATGCAGGCTTAACAAACAAATCTTTGCTAATAAAATGGTTTAACAAAAAGAGAACAAGTATACAAATATATTCATGGAGTCAAACTTTTTATGACTCGAGAGGCAAAACGACAGTTTGGCACGATCTGGAAGCCGGGGGCAACGGCAAGTGTTTTGCAGTTTTAATAGAGACATAAAAACTGTTATAAATACAGGAATTTCATATACTGCTTGTTGTTTCCCCTGTAATTTGAAATATTTAGACCACTGAAAGAGAAGTTTAACAAAAACGCAGAAATGATATGGGGAAACCCGGCAATAAAAATGAAAAACAAAACATTTTCATTGTGGATTTCGGGCGCGTGTGTAAATTTCGGAAAAACAATAGCCGCACAGACACAGCACCGAAAAAGTCATAAATAGTTTTCATTTCATTAGCTTCGCTTTGTGAATTGGTCGAACAACTGCAACAAAATATGAAAGCGGAAAATGCAGGCGCTCAGAAATAATAAACATGGGCCTTGTCTTGTTTATTCAATCAGGCAAACCGGAGTGCCGCCGAGAAGAAAAAGATAATACTCACACACAAGCACACCTGTAATTGAACTCTGGACTCGTTCCGAATATTTTGAGTAAACAATTACAGCTCCGACGTCACAACAATCATACAAACCACAATCCCCTTACCACAAATAATTTACAGGCTAAACAAACTCGAACGGCTCGAGCCGCCACTCGCACATATCGGCATTTAATTAATGACTTTTTATCAAGACTGAATAAATATTCAGTGATTTGGAATTTGCATACATTGAAATAAATAAAAGCAAATTAGAAAAAACACAGAAAACGAAAAGAGTGGACACAAGAAGTTTAAAGCATTGAATATTCAGAGTAAGAGTCAACAATTTTGTTTATGGCTGAGCTAGGCCTAATAGTGCTTGCAAGTTTGGGGCTACCTCAGAAGATAGTATTTACCATTTTACATTTAACAGATAAAGTTTAGACATATATTAGCATTATTTTAGATCGAGAGAGATCTAGGTTTTCATTAAAAGTATTAAAATAGGTGAAGTCTGGCTGGCAGCCGGATAAGTCTCTGATTTATAAATATCCGCAGGTAAGCTTATTTTACATTGCTTATACTTAAAAAAATGTAAGTGAATACAAAAGCGAATCTTATTTTAAACCGAAACTTTCTCGACTGGAGAATTAAAATCGCTTACAAATAAATAAACCAAGTCTCCAGAGTTCAAGGTTTGTAAGAATAAAGCAGCCCTACATCTCAGGACTTTCTGATAAGGAGAGTCAAAGTAATTTATGTTTAAATTGCTCCCTTGGCCATGGCCCATTAAGAATACAAATCTGCGACCTCACATCCCATATAAAAGAATATATTGTCTACTTCCTACTATTGGACAGGCAGCAGCAGTGCATGAGTCTCGTTTTCATGTTTGGCTTTCGCCACACACTTTTCCTTTGAGCATGCTTTTCCCCCATGGCGCGTACAGCTAATTAAGCTATTTTTAAAAAAGGCGAATTTTCCAACGCACGCACAGAACGAACACAGGCCATCGTCACAATGTCTGGCAAGATCGCGTGCAAGGGGGAGAGTCAGCTGGCTGTGCTCAATTAATGTCGTTTTGCTCGCCATTTTAATTTGGAAAATATATATTTTCCAACTGCACACAGCGAGCACGGTTTGCCAATTGTCCAAGGTAATGGCATACATAAAATAAACATACAGAAATATACGTACATATTTCTATATCATAAACACAGACCCCATTTGACATTGAACTCATTCTAAAAGTCACGCCCACAAATGTTTTCTCAGTCTTCGAAGGCGCAACGAATGGTGTTTTTGTTTAATTAAAGACAGCCAAAAATTAAATTGAAACATATCTCAACAACTACAAGCATAGAACTCATCAAATACAGAGGGATATATGTGTTTGGGCGAGATGAGGAGAATTTTTCCGGCTGCCTAATACGTTGTCTGCTGTTTGATGGCACCGACCGAAGATTGCATGCAGAAATTTACGACCTCCTCTAACGAATTTATCGACGCTAATATTAGAAATGACTGGCACGGGCACGGGCTGGATTAATTGTTAAATCTACATATCCACGGCTATAGGCACACACCGCTTGAGCTAATGCCTGGTATGAGTTTATGGGTCTCTGGGGTGAAATTTAATGCGCTATTTTGCCTCTATTGTCATCTCTCGGTTTGGTTTTATGGCCAACGACGAATGCACTTTACACATCGACCATTAAATCATTTATTGAGCGGGGAGCGGGACCTTATTACTCCCTGAGATTAGACAAATCTCAATCAGTCACGTGTCAAAGATTTATGGGGTGGGCGCATTATCCGAAGTGGAACTGTAAAGACAGATGGATCCTATACCCAACTTTATATTATATTTCAGATTTTCCAATCCCGAAGACCCCTGGGGAACAAGAATTCAATTGAGGGCGAATTTCTTTAGCACCTTTGCGTAAACAATTTCAGAGTTGTTCGTTGCGAAGGCGCCAACCGAAAGGCTGTAAACAAAACATTTTGTTTTTTGTCTAATTAAAGCTCACGAAAATAGATAAACAGTCAGACGGATATCTATATATTATAGAGCCCCCAATAATTCGCTGGGAAACATTCCGGCGACGCATATTAATACACCAATATATGCAAAACTCGCAAGCCATTAAATTTATGGATGCGCAGTGCAAAAACGAGTTTCGGCTGTGGACATGCCTCCAAAAAGAATGAATGGCAGTTTATATAAAAACGCAAACGACAAATATAAATTATTAAAGCATTTTGCCATGGGTGCCTAATTTGCATTGGCGCCAAGGGGGCCAAAACAACACAAAAAGCGACAGTAAAAAAAGCCAGGGAAAGGTAATTTATGTTTAACGCAATGATAACTAATTAGGGGTTTGGGGGTGCTCACCTGATCTTGACAGAAGTATCCAAATCCGATGATGCCGGCGATGGCCAGGAAGAGACAAAACACAATGATTGTTCGTATTTTGGAGCGTGGTTCCATTTTCTTGATTTCATAAACTCCGCTGGGTAGCAATAAGGCAAAATCACTATCGACTTGGACAGATACGTTCTTATGCATATCCACGGGCATGTTCCATTCCCCTTCCCGTCCTCTATGAAACCGCACTAGATCATCTGGGAGAGACCCATCCGAATCCAATAGAACCGGGACCTGGCGAATCGCATCGGTGGCGAGGCCAACTCAATCATACTTCAGTCGTTGCCCGATAAGAATTCTAGAAATGGTAGTGCCCATTGCCTTATATATTTTTTTATTCCAGTAGCTGAAAATGGGCTGAAATAAGTGAAAAGTTGTTAAATAATTTCCTTAGTGGCGCTGTTCAATCATAAATAAGCACGAAAAAATCCACTTGACCTCCTCAGATAAGGGGTCTATCAAAGTGTCTAGCCGTTATCAGGTAACTTTTAAAAGTAAACACAAATAAATAAAGATAATTTTGTAAAAGACTTGACTGATAAGAATATTATAATTATTAAGTAATTCCAATTAACTTTTGTTTAATTAATTAATTATAACTTAAATTGATTTATATGTAAGTCTGACTATATTGTAATTGGAATATTTTAAGGCAAGGTGTAAAATTTTCATTTGAGCAATAAAATTGGTTTTACTTGTGTGGGAAATCTTGAAATGGACAGCCACCAATTTTTGAGATCGGCACAAATAAAGTCTGAAAATAAATCACATAATTCAGAGAATAATGACGGAACAGGATATACAGTTTACGAACTTGGAACTTTACTCAAATTAATTAATTATGCCCTACTACATTGATTATAAGGTTTATGAGGTCACAGAAGATTAATATACCGTATAAGTACATAAGTAATGAATGTAGAATTCCCTTTAGCCTAGTGGTGAAAATTTGCGAGAAAAGAAAGCACTGAAACCTCATAGAAGCGATGGATAGAAATGAATTACTGGTGGCACTGCGTTTTTATCAGTTTACCGAAAGTAAATAGAGATATTACACGTGGGTAGTTTGTGCTGTAGCACCTGACTTTGCAGCGATTCTACCCACAGCGTCAGGAAGTGTATTTCAATAAATAAACACCCAACGCTAGCCGGCGATCTTCAGTCAGTTTGACGCCCAAGCTGTTTTATACCCTTATAAAGAGTATACATACTAATAAAATATATTTGTCTGATTTTAAAGTGTAAGAAGAGTTATTTTAAACATAAAAGCGTTAGCCAATAAGGTCAGCAGGTTTGCCTATACGTATAGTATTATTTACAGGACATACAAGTTTTGAAAGTTTTATTATTATAATTATTTTTAAATGGCTTATTTCAGTAAAAAGCTAATAACTATATCCTATAGCCTGCATGAACGGTGGTTCAATTGTATTTAAACTGATTTCATTTGCAAAAACCAAGAGTGTGAAATCGTCGATTTGCCGATTCTAGCCTTCTCCTCCATGTAGGCGCGTTAATTTTGCGAGAGTTGCTTTTTGGCTCATTTGTTGTAAACAAATTGTTGTAATGGAGTCGCTTCTTGGCAACATAGCGAAACAGACAACAAAAGGCGGAGAACAAGTATGAAGAAGAAAAGTGCAAAGGATGGCGACAGATGTGGCGAAACATGTTGCCAGGCAACAATAACAAACGAACAGCGACGGCATGCTGTGGACACATGGCTCTTTGATTAACTTTGCTTATCGTTGCTTTACTGTACTTTACATGAACCACATCAATTGTTTCCACGCTGCTGTGACGTCAGAGCAATAGGAATAATTATAGAAGCAGGCTATTTATTAACATTGCAACACAAAAACACAAACAAAGAGGAACAGCAAAAACACAAAGAGAGAGAGGGAAAGAGCGCGGGAGACACGGTGAGAGAGCGAGACGCAGGCAACAGCTGTTCTGCTAGCCAATTCGATGGCCAAATGCAAATTCGCCAATTTACCTGCGTTTCAATCACTTTTTCACTAGCCAACTAGTGTGTTTGTTGACTTTTCACAATTATCGCAGCGGCACACGTTTACTTATTTACATTTTTGTGCTTTTAGGCGTTCGCACGCTCGCTTAGCGCGCTTTCTGCTTTGTGCCACATATTCTGCGCCAAAAACCCGAGATTTGCACTTTTAACTGTTTGGAACTCGTTGCACAAGGGCGCTTGGCACTATTCACTCGCTATTGTTAACTAATTCACAACTTTTCTGCTTTTTTCGTCTGTTTTTACGATTTTTTAGGCGAAACACGGCGCAGCGGAGCCCACGTCCGTTGTCTGCAAATGTTATTCGGCGAATGAGCTGAACAAAACGGAATTGAATTGAACAAAGCGGAATTGAATTGAGCAAAAACAGCTGTTATTCGATTTATTCTCGATTTCCCTTTTGGCTCGTCCGTTCTCCGTGTCATATGTAGCAATGGGGTAAAAGTTATGTTAAAAGAGGGTCGAATTCCCAATCGGTAAGTAAAATTGTGTAAAGTCCGAATTTTACATACGCGAATTGAATAAAACAGTTGCTATTCGACTATTCGATTATTATTCTCGATTTTCCTTTTGGCTCGTCTCCGTGTCAAATGTAAAATTGTGTAAAATCAGAATTTTACATACGCAAATTTACCTCATGAACGCAAAGTTAGGAGCACTGCTGCGTTGCCAGATAGTCAGTGCATAAACGACCAACATTGCCAGACCTGCTGTGGTTTAACATTAATTAATTTAAGAGATATTTGCAGAACTGTAGTTTGACGGTTACGCCGGCGCACTGCTGCTTCGGCCTCTCGACAAAAAAAAAATCTGGCGCGACCCAGGGTATATCCGACCAAAGCAATGCCTTGTAATTTAAACCATTTAAGGCACAGAATTAAATATGAACATTTTGCCCTATGCCTTAAAATTAATTTATGCTCGCGGAAATTGTGCCACAGGTGAATTATTGCGGTGAATGAGAGTTATGGCCAGAGATATCATATCATACGATAGTGTGGCTAGGGGAACTTGAGTGCTTTTAGGATAGTTTATTTAATAGAAGAAGAATAAAATTTTCTCATCGATTTGCAGTTTTAAGATCCCAAAGAATTTTGTTACAATTATTTAATGATCTCTCGAATGAGTTTATATAGAAAAATATTTACCATATGAGAAAATGGATATTATTTCGTTTTATGGTAAGTTTATTTTATAAACTAAATTATTTTTTAATTGATACCTTATGCTGACTCGAAGTCCTCAGTTGATTGATTTATTCCTTGATTTTGTCTGAAGACAGGCAGCAGAAGTTTTTTCTTTATTTTCCCTCCAAAGATAGTACTTTTTCCTGACTGAAACAGTTACTTTAGAAGCCATGGAAAACAACTCAGTCGCTGTATTCATGAACATTCAACAAGCATTTGATAGGGTATGGCACGACGGTCTCCTAAGCAAGTTGAAGAACCTACTTACTCCTCTATATTCTCTGTACACATCAGATATGCCAGATTCCTGGGGCTGTACCGAAGTCAACGGTGATAATATGCTCATCGCAACTTACGCAGACGACACTGCTGTTATGGTCAGAAGTCCAAGCATAGATATCGCAACCTTGGGCCTGCAAGAGTACGTGACACGTTTTGAAAAGTGGACTACAGAATGGAACATAGGCATCAACTGCAGGAAATGTGCTTTTGTCACATTCTCCACAAGGCAAAAAAAACTGCCCAGGCATCTCCATGCTTGGCTCTGTACTTCGTCACGAGGCCTAGTACAAGTACCTTGGTGTGATTTTGGATAGAGGACTTACCTTCCAGAGACACAACGATGATCAAGCAGGGGAGTAGCGCAAAGTAAGATTGTCAGATCAATTTCCAACGCCCCCTGGTTCATGAGAACTAGAGATATAGAAAGAGATCTCAAAATCCCAAGATAGGTGATGTAATACGCACACATGCATAAAAGTATCAAGAACGCCTTGGTACTCATCCTAACTCCCTAGCGAAGAGGCTTATATGGAGACCTAGAAAAAGAAAACTCAAAAAATACCACCAAAATACCTTACTTTAAGATTTATATAACCGTTTGAAGTTTAAAAATTAAAATGTAAATAATATAGAATTAATGTATAATCATGTATACCTAAATTTTGTTATTCCCCTGTAATTTACAACTTGCTTAAGCTGCCACGTAGGTAGCAATATGCCTGTTATTGTTGAAAAAATATACACCTAAAAAAAAAAAAACAAATAAACAATGAAACAGTTACTTTACAGACTGAACAAATAAACAATGAAACAGTTAGGTACTTTACAAACTTGTCCGAAAACGCAAATGGATGAGTTGCAAGAGTTATATGATATAAGACCAAAAAGTCCTAAACAAAGGCATTTACATATATATGAAAAACTTTTTAAAATGAGAAAAACTATTACATTTGGGGAAACCGACAAAAGAAGTTGTATCGAATACAAACACAGATATAAGGGGTCTATAAAAGACCATGATTGCCCAAAAATGAGAGCCAAATATATGTGCTATTGTGGGTTTTTGAGTGAAACTAGCAACAGATTAAAAATTCCTAATTTTGGAGCAACGTTAAAAAATACGGACTGCTACAAATGGTACCGGACGTTTCTCAGCTTGCCATTAATTCAGCCTCCGAAAAATCAGGAAATGTTTACATTTTTGAAGGACCAATTGTTGCAGCTGCCAAAAAACAGGCACGACATTTTGAAACGTTTTTTAAATTACTTTGAAATGGAATGGATGGCTAAAGTAAGATTATTTTTCTTTTTTAATTCATGTATTTTTACTTTTTTCCCCAGACCACACCTTATGTATTCTCTGTGCGCGCTCAGGTTATGAGAACAACAAGCCCATTGGAGTCCATCAACGCTGGATTAGCTCGGAAATTGCAAAAGCATGGCCGCTTCGACCAATTCCTCGAAGTTATTCGAGATGAGTATTATGCTACAAGCGTAATTTTACCAAATGCTCTAGATGGCGACTTAACCGCGCTAAGCGCAAAGCGAAAAAAGCAGAGAGTCAAGGACAACAAAATAGAAGACCTTCTCAGGGACTTGGAGAGCGCAACAAATATCATTAAACGAGTTTTTTGGCAGCCTAATTAATCAAAATATGTTTTGAGTGCTACAAAGTGATGAAAATTAAAGCGGCGAAGTCTCTATTGCTCTGCCCATATTGCAGGCAAATAGTAGACAGCCAAATTAAAGTTTATCAATGATGTCCGCCAGGGCCTCCACTCCCAAGGCAGCAGTGGGAGCTCTCACCTCCGCCACTGCATGACGCTTCTTCTCGTTCAGACCGAAGCGACCGTTGGTTGTAGCGAATTTCTCTAGAGGAGTGGTGATGTTAATGATTTTTAAGGGGACTTAAGTTTTGTGGAATCGGCTTCTCCACAGCCTTCTTTTGGAGTGGGGCTTTTCCACTCATGTATTCGCCTAGGTTATAAATTTCTGAAATAAATGGAAGAAATACATAAATTAATATAAAAATAAGAAAACATTTACAATTTATACTCTTACCGGTTATGTCCGGAAGTTTATTTTTCTGATCCGCCAATTCTTTGTTTGTTATCGGATGAACATGAACCATTTTTCTGTGCACTTTAACACCATTACTGGTGGGTGCTTTAAAATTGCACAGGTTGAAATCGCATTTATGAATTTCCTCTGCGCATTTGTGTTCTGTGAATTTTGCGTATGAATTTCCTCTGCGCATTTGTGTTCTGTGAATTTTGCGTATGACTTTACAGCAAAGCCGCAGACCGAGCATTGCCGCGCCTTCTTGCTAAATGTCACCTCTTCCATAAATCTCCCTTTTGAGGGAGTCGTCGGTGCTTTATAATAAGGTCGAGGTCGGTATACACTCGATCTCGAGCTGTATGCCGACAAGGTCGTAGAAGACGCTCTCGAAGGCGCTCTCGGCACATCCCTGGCCAAGGGCTTCCACTTAAACTCCACCAATGGCGATGCAGGCTGATGCTGAGCATCCTCCCTACTACCCTCTATCGTAACGCGCAACTTTTTATTAGACATAAGGACGCGAATGCAGATAACGCTTTGAGCGGGCAGGGGCAGTGTTGCGAAATGAAAAGTTTTTGGAAAATCATGAATTTAGATTTCTTTTATTTTTTTATTTACAGCTTCTGCAGCTGAATTTATATCTATCTCTATCTATTTTTTATTTAACATTTTAAATGCTTTATACTATTCATATTAATATTTATAATATATAAATAATAATTGTAAAAACATAATAACATCGATAGTTATCGATAACTATTGATAGCGACTGACTTCCCTTCCCCCTTCTCTAGCGACAAACGCCCAAACTTGCGCTAAATTCGATCGAAAATGGACGTGTCTGTGCCTTCTTCTTCTGAAGCTTCTGCTTCTGTTGAAAAATATTGGAGTACGGATTTAATACTTATTATTAAAAGCCTACCCTTTCTCACAAAGAATTATTCGGCTGAAATGCTTGACCAGCATATAAAAGTGCTTATGAATCTGGCTAAGAATTCTACAGATCTTCCACGGAATACGGTGAATACCGTCAACACATTGGGGGGGGTGGGGGAAGCCCTTTTTCCTAAAACTAAAGTGTAGTGCACAAAAAAATGTGTTGGTGTTCGTGTATATATATCAGTGATCTATTAAAGCTATCTGAATGAAACTTTGCATATAGTCTTCTATATACTCTCACTGCTATATATGTCGGAACGGGCCGGATCGGACGACTATATCATATAGCTGTCATATAAACCGATCGGTAGATGTAGAGAAAATGTAAAGGTGTGAATGTAAAACTGTAACTGTCAAACTGTAAACATAATAGGTATAGGTAAAATGTAATAAAATAATATCTGCAAGGGTATATAAATAATTTAGTCCATCTCAGTCTTAAATTAAAATTGTTTTTCTTTTTATTAATTAAAATTGTATTCATTTATTTTATTTTCTTTTTATTTTTTTTTTCAGATTGGCGTAAAAAAATTCATAGCTTCCACTATTGCCCTGCAGTCCTATGATGGATTGAAGTTTTAGATATGTATGTTTTTCCGAAATATCTTCTCCTCATTATTCCCATTCGAAGCAATTAGAAGCTGTAAAATATGTATTAGACCAATTTAAAATATTGAAGTTGGATAAACTTCTGTTGGCCGTGATTTCCGATCACTGCGAAGTAAATATTGGCAAACTTGATATTAGCCCAGAAATCCCTATTATTTGGGACTATAAGCATTGCCTCAACAATTTGGCAAAATCATATTTTGCACATTGTAGATTTATTTTTAATAAACTCTACCATTCAACTTTCCC